TAAAATAAGCGAGAAAATGGCTGCCAAAGGTGGCTGACTTTAAAGATGTCGCGCCAAAAAATATCGATGAAAATTGCCCAACAGTGGAAAAAATGTCGGTTTCTTCATATTCACTGTTTTGATATTAGTGCGCGTCTAATTTCACCTAGACGACATAAATAATGTGGAGCAGAGCATACCGGGGTGCCCAACAGCTACTCGTGAGCGCTATCGTATAGACTGACACACAAAGAACGAACAACGCTGAACCAAGGAGCTTCTCACACACAGAGAAAAACAAGAGCACCGGACCCAACTACTCGCAGTTTGAACGGTAACTAAAGCAGCAACGAAACAAAATCAACAGCAACAGCAGCAAGAACAACAACAATAATGATTATGATGTGATGTTGATGACAACAACACGACGGTGACGACGAAGACGATGATGATGGTGATGATGATGATGATGATGATGATGAGGAGGAGGAGGAGGAGGAGGAGGAGGAGGAGGATGATACAGAAGCTTTGCCGTACTTTGATGATGATGATGATGATGATGATGCTGATGATGATGGACATGGTGTTGGTGGTGGTGGGGATGGTCCACCATACTTCTCGACTCGTAGGTTGAGGAACACAGAGGAAGCCAGCTGGAAGCCCGACACTTTAGCGGCGTGAGCCAGGGGTCCTTCTGCAGTCGCCATGCCGTGCTTTAATGATGCCACCCGGCTCATCTGAAATTAATAGTTTTGGTTTTGTTAGTGTAGGCGTTTTACGCCCCCATCGACTCGACACTGTTTAGATAATTTAGGAGGCAGGAGGCGGGCTGAGAGGATACAACGACATCACAACAGAAAGACCGAGGTACTCGATAAAATTAATTGTCCCCACTCAGGAACCGAACTCGGGTCGCCAACGTGCGACAGCGTAGTGCCTAAACGCTACGCCACATAGGCAGGCCATGTCATCTGAGAGGAACATCAAATGGAAGAAAAACTCAAAGCTTTACAGTAGTAAAAGTAACGTGTAACATCCCCTAACCCCCCCCCCTCCCCCCTTTTTTTACTTTCACCATGTCTTTGCGAATCATGAATCATGATGAACACATCTCGCTGTTTAGAATTCTGTAAAACATAGCTGAACCCCAATGTGAACCTATCCCCCCCCCCCCCTTTTTCCTCTTCAACAGAGACCCATGGGTATAGCACCAGACAGCTGGAGAAACATTTTGAGCATTTTGTTGGCTGGAGAGACTTAAAAGCTCATCAAAACAACCGATGTTCAGAATGCCCCATTGGGATTCGAACCAATGCCATCTTCTCCGTAGTCCAACATGATACCGACTGAGCTATCGACATGGAAGGAAAGAAATCTACAATTTACACTAGTCAACAAATTCCATCAGCTATCTGCCACCTAAGATCTATTATGTGTATTTCAAGTAATTATTTTGGGATCGGTGATTTATTCAGATCTGCAGTCAGATTTGCGCTAGCACGCCAGGTTAATTATATTCAGAGTAGCCTACCCAGGTTATTTTCCCTTATTTAACACTATCATAAAAATAACATGAAGGAGAAAAATAAACCACAATTAGCCACATGTTTATTTCTATTCTTAACATCTTTTATGAAAAGCTTAGGAAGTATCACACCTTTCCGTTGTGGTACCACCAGAGCTCCAGACCAGTCGGGGTCAAGCCTAAAGCGGAACTGTGGTAGCATTCGATTTCATAGGGAGTTCCAACCTTGACTTTCTGATATTTGAAAGCTTCGGTCTCGAATGTGTTCAGAACGACGAGGAGACACAAGAGCAGAAACTGCAAAACCTTTCCGGTGGACGCCATGACCCCTCACTTCCTAGATCTCGTCCTGGGTTGATATCAATAACAACAACAGACTAAATCTCGTCAGAGTCACAGTTGTGGTTGGTATATCGAGCAGCAAGTTCCAAGAGGTAAGGCCCTTAGATTTGGATATTCGGTTGTTCGGTTGACTTGACCTTGAAGGTTTCTTTTAAAAAGAGAGAGGGAGGGGGGGGGGGAGAATCATCAAGCACAGTGTTACAAAAAAATGTCTAAAATACACAATGTACACCTATATTGCAGATCCTTCAAATATGTGTCATGTGGCATATTACCCAATGCATCACAAGCCTCCAAGATACCTAAATACATTTGAAAAAAGAGTACGAGTAGGCCACAACTCACTCACTCACTCATACACTCACTCACTCACTCACTCACTCACTCACTCACCTATAACTCACTCACTTACTCACCCACAACACACCCACTCATTCACTTACTCGCTCATTCATTCACTCACAACTCACTCATTCACTTGCTCGCTCACTTACTCACTCACTCGCGTTTAATACTCGCTCACTCACTCACTCACTCACTCACTCGCCCACTTATTCAGTAGTGCAGAACAGAACCCTATTTCACATTGTCAATGTGGGTGATTTTTCTCTCTGCATCCGGACTTTTCATTCAGCTATTTTTAATAATTGTTTTCTTCAGAATGTTCTTACCTTCAGTCTGCTACATGGACCGGTTTTTAAAAACTAAACACTTTCAATACTCACTCACCCATTCTTATTTTGTCGTCTGAGCT